ATATATATATATATATATATATATATATATATATATATATATATATATATATATATATATATATATATATATATATATATATATATAGCGATGGGAATACAGTTTTGCTATATGAGTTAAATAACTATTTAGAAAGAAGTTTTAACTTAAGGTTGATCGGGATGATTTTTTTAGGGGAGTGCATATGCGTAAAATATAAGTAACATAAAATATAAGTAATGGTCTACGAGCATAGACAAATTCAATAATGAAAAAGATACAAATTAAATAAACAGCGTTTTAATGTTTTCTGAGGAGTCGAACAGTATTCAGGTACACAGTAATTGAATAATCAAATGTAAAAAAATACTGCATAGTCTTCATTTTAAAAACAATTGAATAAAATGAATCGTTAATAATTCGTCAAAGTTACAAATGGTACAATTTCTTAGGCCTGAATGCTTTTGAAACCGTCACACAGTCAAAGGCCTCAAAAAAGGCCTCACGGAATACTAAATTATAATTCAGACTCGACATTGAATATCTTCGCAATGTGACTATTGCAAATGATCACATTTCTGTATCGATGCTGAAATGAAATATTGTGCAGCCCTAATATATATTATACTATAATTATATTTTAAAATATTTGTGTAATATAATACAATATATAATAAATAATATTTTAGTCAGCGAACATCTTTAGAAATCTAAAGATAATACACTTAAATTTGTGCAAATTATTGCAAAATAAATAAATAAATAAAAAATTACAAACTACAAAATTCCAACAAAATTTAATACATATATTTTTCATTTCTCCTGATTAAAAAAAAAAAGTTTACTATATATGCTTTATGTTTTTTTAGTTTTTTTTTTACATAGATGTCATGGTGTCTCACCGGCGGAGCAGCAGTTTTGGGTTCTTGCTGTGAACGTAATCCTCCATGAGCCCCAGCAGAAGCGTCCTCATGATGTCGGTGTAATACTCCAGTTTACCGTGAAGAGCTACGGTCAGCAGAGACGCAAAATACACTTTGGCCCTGGCGTTAAAATCCGGACGGCCCTCCAGTGTTCTAATAAACTTCACACAAACACAGAGAGAGATTGATTTATGCAAACACTTCTGACTTTAATATGGAGCTCATTTTCCTCACAGACTATTGTAGAAAAATTGAAAGAGTTATTGCAACTTTTTACACTATAATGTTTGCTTTCTTGCAATTGAGAGTTAATTAGAATACTGGTATTTCTAGCAGAAGTATTGTGAAAAAAGTCAGAAATGCGAGAAAGGTTTGTTGTGAAGAAAATAGTCAGATTTGGTAGACACAAACACCACTGCAAGAAATAGTCACAAATTTGTAGAAAAATTTCCAAAATATAAGATGTAACCCTAGACTCCTGTGTCAGGTACTAATTAGAAAAGAGTCAGTATTTGAAACATTGTCGAAAATATTCAGTATTTGAAATATTGTCGAAAAGAGTCAGTATTGCGAAATATTGTCGAAAAGATTCATTATTTGAAATATTATCGAAAAGAGTCAGTATTGCAAAACATTTTCAAAAAGAGTCCGTATTTCCAAATATTGTAAAAAAATCTCAGTATTGCGAAAAATTGTCAAAAAAAAAATATTGTCAAATATTGTTGAAAAGAGTCAGTATTGCAAAATATTGTTGAAAAGAGCCAGTATTCGAAATATTGTTGAAAAGAGTCAGTATTTCCAATTATTGTCAAAAAATCTCAGTATTGCAAAAAATTGTCGAAAAAAGAGTATTGTCAACTATTGTCAAAAACAGTTAGTATTGCAAAACATTGTTGAAAAGAGCCAGTATTGTGAAATATTGTTAAAAAGAGTCATTATTGGGAAATATTGTTGAAAAGAGTCAGTATTTGAAATATTGTCGAAAAGAGTCAGTATTGTGAAATATTGTTGAAAAGTGTCAGTATTGTGAAATATTGTTGAAAAGAGTCAGTATTGTGAAATATTGTTGAAAAGTGTCAGTATTGTGAAATATTGTTGAAAAGAGTCAGTATTGTGAAATATTGTTGAAAAGTGTCAGTATTGTGAAATATTGTCGAAAATAGTCAGTATTGTGAAATATTGTTGAAAAGTGTCAGTATTGTGAAATATTGTTGAAAAGAGTCAGTATTGTGAAATATTGTTGAAAAGTGTCAGTATTGTGAAATATTGTCGAAAATAGTCAGTATTTGAAATATTGTCGAAAAGAGTCAGTATTGTGAAATATTGTCGAAAAGAGTCAGTATTGTGAAATATTGTTGAAAAGTGTCAGTATTGTGAAATATTGTCGAAAATAGTCAGTATTTGAAATATTGTCGAAAAGAGTCAGTATTGTGAAATATTGTCGAAAAGAGTCAGTATTGTGAAATATTGTCGAAAATAGTCAGTATTTGAAATATTGTCGAAAAGAGTCATTATTGTGAAATATTGTCTAAAATAGTCAGTATCTGAAAT